CAGATTTGATTAAAACGAGTGAATAGAAGCTTCTGCACAGCCCAGGAAGGCTGAGGAGATTATTCAGCAGTTTGGATCAGGTGTGTCTGAGCGGGAACATTTCAAAAACATTACTTGTTTGTTAGCGCTAGCGGTCATGGTTTGAGGCGTGACTTTTCCCACTGTGCAGACCTAGTTTAGACGTCCGACAGACATGGTCTGGATCGACGAACTCAATATAGACATGATCTGCACGGCCATGCGACGTTAACCGTTTGCAAGGTTAGCTCCTTTTAGAAGGGAAGGTGGCGCAAGGACAGGAGCCGTTCTAACTTTAAAATCTCCTCCTCATGTCTCTGATGACATCACCTATGAACTCCAGCTTTAAGACGAGGGAAACACACCAAAAATTAAAACAAATACAATCTATGTTGGAGGTTAGAATGAAATCAAAGCTTTTTTTTTCATTAAACAAATGCGATTTCCATTTCTACTGTCATTTTCACAAGAGTTAAGCCCAGAAGTTCAGTAATAAGTCACCGAAACAACATTTATGTCTCAGCTGTATGTCGGTATGTTTTTGTCACAATAACCCAAATCAAAATGTGCTTAATTAAAGCACATTTTTGCTGCAGTATTTGGTGTTCTCTGGAATAAATATAAACCTTTCCTTCATAAGGTTGCTCCCATTCTGTTTACTGGTTATTTTAACTTAACCGTGTTAGTGTAAAATGTCATTGCACAGTGTTTATGGCATCTGTCCCACCCCTTATAATTCACTTAATAATTATAACTAAGATACCAGCGAGGATGATATCTTACACAGGAATAAAAACCCACGGTGTATTAATATGTATTAATTATTATAAAAGCTGTGTCAAACTGTTGTTGTTATGCAACATATGTGTAAATAGTAATTATTTGACTTGTGGCTTAAAATAGGTACCAGTTTATCAGTATCGTTTGGCTTTTATACATTTTCAGAAATATCTCAGAGCCTCCAATGACTCGGTGTGCTTTGTGCAACCAACAGCTCTTTCATAAACACAAATGAGGCAAAAAAATTAAATTAAAAAACTGATCACAAGTAAATGATGGCTGTAAAGTTCCATATTTAACGGGTTATAATCATGGAGGTATTATTTTCATTCATTCATTCATCTTTTCAGCCATTTCTTCTTGTAAGGATTTCAGAGAGCTAGCGCCCAGCACACACCGGGTGAGAGGCAGGGATGAGACAAACATTCACACAATTAGAAAACATTTAGAGGAACCATTTAATCTAACGTGCACATTTATGGTCTCTGGGAGGAAACTAGAGTACCTTGCATGTACTCTGCGAGTACGTTTACATGCAGCCAATATCCGGGTTATGATCGGGTTAAGGTCGGTATTCGGGTTTCTGAGTTGATCAGAATAACCCGTTTACAAGCATAAATAGAAAGAGTTACCCCTAACTTGCATAACCCGATTTAAATGCGGACATTGGGGTAGCGTCAGGACGTATGGACTACGTCCAGACGCAATATGCGGTTACCTTCTTGTATATTTCACTGTCTCTGTACTTTTGGCCGTCAACAAAAGACATAATTATCATGCTTTTCACCAGACCGATGAAGACAGAGGTTTCCTCGTCACTCCAAAAGTGTGGTGCTGTGCCGCGACTCGCCATGTTGCTCCCAACTTGTTGTTTACTTCCGGTGTTCTGGCGCATACAAGACGTCTCGCTACTCAAAAGACCAAGATTCCTTGTGAACAGAGCATGCGCAGAACACACGCTTTGATGGGGATATCCCGGTATGCGTTTACACGACCAAACATTCGGGTTAGAAAAGGGTTACCCCAGGTGTAGTAACCGGGTTTTTAAAAACCCGGTTATGAGCATATCCGGGTTTTTGGCGGTGTTTACATGGACCTGCGGAACCGGGTTATTGTGAATATTCGGGTTTTAAAGGGGTTGTAAATGGGAAGAACAAACAATCTTAAACTCAGGTTTGAACCTACAGCTTTTGCAGCTGTTGTTTAGTGATATTAGAGCATATCATTGGTAAATCATGATAAGCAACACATATTATCATAAAGCCTTTTCTGTCTTTATTTGTGTGTGTGGTACATATTGGGGTAATAATAATATTTAGTCCAGTTGTAGAAAAAAATGAGTGATAAAGTGATAAATGAGTAATGAAGCTGGATCAGCTCTGGGGAAGAACTTTGTGTTTTAGTGCAGGTAAATACTCCACCGGTCCTCCACCCCAAACTTCTGAAGCCAAGCTGACATGGATGAGCGTGCTCTGAGACCCTCTGTCTTTGCAATTTCATGCTTGGTACTTTCTTCAATTACCAGCAGCCTCGTTTTTAAACAAGTGTTAGAGAATTATTGATTTACTCATTTCAGGTTTTCAAAGAAAACACCATCTCAGAATGTTTGGTGGGATTTGTGTAAGATGAAATCCCAGCCCACTCTCATAATAGTGCTACCAGAATCAGTCTGAGGTAACTGTCCACTCATCTTACCCAGAAAATTCTCTTTCAATAAACAGAGTAAAAGCAAAATTAACTAGAAGTATTAAAACGTATGAACAAGACTAAAAGCAAGTCTTTTTCAGCCTTGTCTGTTACCGTCCACCTCCAGCATCATTTTTATCAGCTTTACATCTCAGACCCACTGCTGAGATTTCATCTCCACTAAAAACTGAGGAAGATCAGAAGGTGCGTGAACTGTAGGGAGCTTGGGTATTTTTCAATAACTTGCATGCAGATTTTGGCTATTGTCGAGAAAGACACATTATATGGTTTAAACACAAAAGCAAGACATCAAAGGTGCCTTTTGTTGCACCACCTTTGAGTCTTGCATCCACGGCATTTTAAATTAATCAGAACCTCCATATCTCACATTTATAAGTATAATAAATGCATCCTCTGCATCTCTCATGAACATATTTTGGACACGTTTTGTGTTCACAGGTGAAAAAAGCTTAATGTTTCTGCAGCCTGTGCATAAGTCCGACACATGTCAAACCTACAATCTGGAGTTTTCTATCTTTCAGGAATTATGTATAGTTTTTAGAAATGCATAAAAGTGATAGCTGCTGGTCAAAGAGACCGGTGGCATCAGTGCTTGGCAGCCTTACTTGTGTCAGTGTACCCTGGTTAGATGTGGCAACATTGTAGCTCTTTACCATCAGTGTGTGAATGTGTGTGTGTGTGTGTGTGTGTGTGTGTGTGTGTGTGTGTGAATGGATGGAATCATTGTAAAGTACGTTGGAGTCCTCTGACTCAGAAAGGAACTTTACAAATGCATGGCATTGTCTTACTCAGTACTGTGATTTATTGTAGATGCATTCATTTTTTGTGTGCTAAGCCCGCCCCCTGTCCTGTAGAGCACTATGCAATTAAAGTTAAAGTCCCATTAGTTGTCACACACACTGATGTGTGTGTGAAATTTGTTCTCCGCATTTGACCCAGCATTTGAACCAGCGGTGAGCTGCAGACAGAGCCGCGCTCGGGAACCATTTGGTGGTTTAACCCCCCAATCCAACCCCTTAATGCCGAGTGTCAAGTAGGGAGGCACCGGGTCCCATTTTTTTCAAAGTCTTTGGTATGACCCGACCAGGAATCGAACCCCTGATCTCCCAGTCTCAAGGCGGACATTCTACCACTAGACCACTGAGCTGGTGTATTAGAATTGAGTGCCACTCAACATTAGCCAAAATCGTCAAACATTCACTTACATGCAGATATCAATCACAGAGCGTGCATGCACATTTGCATAAGTAGAACAATGTAGAGTTGGCGACAGCACTAGCACACCACCCATGCACTTCATGCACTGTGGGGGGACCAAGTGGCCAGGGGGGCACCAACCAATCTGGTTTAAAAAAGAAAGAGACTTCCGTGAGTTGCTCCGCTGTGCTCGGATCCAGTCAGTAGATGGACAAAACAGAGTGGAAGGCAGCTGCTTCACCCACTTAACTACCCAAACCTAATACAAGAGCATATTTGCCTAAGGCACACGTCTTGTGCTGGCCATTATGTGCGTTCTTTTGGCAGAAATTGCATTTTTCATGACGATCATATTGACGGAATGTTCTGCAAAAATAAAATGAGCATAGGGCACGTATGTGGCCAGCACTGGGCCTGGTTGCAGACATGTCTTATGGAATTGTAAGTCTTATATGTATAATAAAAATAAATAGAAAACTGTGTGTTTTAACTCTGTTGGCCGGCTACAGGTGGTCGTTCACAAAAGAGGCATCGATTCCAGCCGTAATCATGAAAGTAGGGAGAGAAGCTTAAGGTGCAACACATGTTTCCGCCTTTAGATGGAGCTCTCCTAGAAAGAAAACTCCAGATTTCGGCTTTGAAGCAGACGTCCAGATTATGTCTTTAATCTCTGGGCCCCATCCAGAGGCTAACAAGTGTATCACACCAAGAAGTCTTTTCACTTACGTATTTATGGCAGAAAGCAAGGTCTCTCGTTCATGAATGCGCTCCTCTAGACGACAAAACAGTTCTAAAACACATTGATTACAGTTATTATGCTCATGCTATGTTGTGTTTTGATAGACTTGATTGGTCCGTGACAAAGGTTGCCAACCCTGCATCAACCATGATGCTTCCTTAAATGCTTGTGCATGCTTTGTGATGTCGCTCAGCTCATGTTGCATGGAGCTCTAAGGGACGGGGCGGGCTTAGCAAAAATAAAGACGTACTGCCTACATTATATCATAGTACACGATAAGACGTTCGCTTTTATGGATTTCTGAAAATTCACACATAATTCCTGAAAGGGGGAAACGCTGGACAGCAACTTTAAGCGTATCTTGTTGATGTAAAAAACAAAAATTCAAATAAAAAGAGCAGTGTTGTAAACCCCGGGGATGATAGCAGGCCGATAATTCTCACAAACTTTGTTATTCTATCATCTATAACCACCCCTCACAATAAGCATACAGACAGTAATTTATTCATCTAATTAATAAAGTAGACCTTATATCTAAAGTCCAAGTAACAAGAAGCTAAACAGTTATGTTAGATCTTTATTCCTGAAGAGGTTGGTTATCATACAATGTCTTTGATGCATTTAGAGAAAACCAGATTGCATGGCACAAATTCAGAAAACAGAACAATCATGGGGCTATGGTAGACCTTGTGGCTATAGATTGTAGTCGATATATTATTATTGCTTTCATCACAAAAGAGGAGTATAACGGGCCTTTAAATCAAAGGTGAGAATTTTTCATTACAGGTCCACAACTCTAACCAGTAACACCCGAGTTCAAAGTCTAAGGAAGTGTTTGGCCTAGTGGAGATTGCATCTTATAAAGTGGTGAGACAAAATGCTCGTAAATGCCTTCTAACATCGTAGGGCTCCGTGTCATGATTGTTTTTGTGCTTATCAATTACTATAGAGTATTTCAAGTTAAGTGTTACATTATTAAGCAAGTAGAAATCACTTGTGCCCAGGTCCACTGTCGCCAGTAACGCATTTGTAAATATATAAGCATCATCTAGCAGCACGTTCTGAATCGGATCCTCGGATAAAAGTCATAAAATGGTAAAATAGTTCTTATACCAAAAAATACAGCTGTGAACAAACATGAAAATGGAAACAAGGTAATATAGTTAAGGCTAAACATAGTATTTTTTTCCTATTACCTCTGTATAGCTAGGCCAGAAAGAGGAGCATGCAATCAACATAACATTGCCACTATTTTACATTAAACAACTAAAGCAACCAACTGAAAACAAAACAGAATGTGCCTTCCTTCACGACAAATTAGATCCGTGTAATGCAGGTTTGCTATGTTGTAAATCATATGGCTTTGTGCAACTTCTCCACTGTCTGTAAAATCACTAACAAAATTCTTCTTGTCAAATTAAAAGTGAACAAACTGTCATGCCAGAAAACTGAGATTCGACTCTACATGCGCCATTTCTTACATGCCAGATTGTGCTAATTGTACATCATCCTGAAATTAAAAAAATAGGAAAGAAAAAGGAAATCTGAGGTCTTTCATTAGGGAATGAACACTTACATCCAGGGACAGATGTGCTCATTTCCATCACCCTAACTTATATAAGGTACAGGTGAATGTATTCTACATCTCCTTTAATATAAGAAAATCGTCTTTAAATAAATAGTACAAGGATTTCAGGTTTGGAGAAGGGGAAAGGAGGTTGTTGGCTCCTTTATGTAAAGCGATCAGAATTCATCTTCCTAAGTTTAGGAGGTAAGTGTCCATCCATCCTGCCCCCTCCTCCCCCAGCCAGTCGCTGCAGCTTTGGCGGTAAGTCCGCCACTGACTTGCTGATGGGCTCCATGCTCTTACAGGCCTTACCTGCCTGTTTATCCTCAGAGACCCCAGGAACAGAGCTGATACGTTGCAACTTCATGGGCAGGTCCCCAAAGCTGTAAGTCATCTCTGAGGTGGTTGAGCTCATCCTCAGCAGCTTCTTGGGCAGGCCGTCCCGCCCGGTGATCTTCTGGAGCTTGGTAGGCAGCTTGCTGGTGCTGTCATTGTCCTCCAGGGTCTCCAGGCAGTCCAGGGAGCTGTTCTTCTCCCCGCTGTTGCACAGAGACGGAGCCATGAGGGGCGAGGAGAGGAGCAGAGCCTCTTCCTGCTCTTTCACACTGTAAGGAGGAGTGGGCACCTCAAACGTGGCATGAAACTGAGAGTAGTCCACCTTGAAGAAGCCCTCCTCCAAGGAGATGACAGGGAAGAACCGGTGTCCCCACAGAACCTCGTCCTCGGTGTATGATGTCCTTGCTTGGCAGGTCATCCCTGTCAAAGAGAATAAAACAAATACATTTAAAGTTATTGAATTATTAATGAAAATACAAGCAGGTTTAAAGCTTAAAGATTCATGACATTGATTTAAACACACGTTTTGCATCAATGTTAATACCAGTCCTCAAACAAGTTTGCTATGAAAAAGGAGTTACTGTAAAACAGAGCCAGCTGCCTAAATGAATGATTTAATTGACTTTAATTGTTGACGTTTCCAATTTTCAGACTAATCTGACCAAAAAATGTAAAATGTAGCTCAGTTATTTGCTGTGTGTGTGCTGTTTTTATGAATTAGTAAACCATTAATTGTATGAAGAATTAAAGACAAAGAAATTCAGCTAAAACTGATAATCAAGGGGACAAATTATGACTTTTTCTTATATTATAAGTTTTTTGCAGAAAATCCCTCACGTAAAGTAATATTAGCCGTTTTATTCTCGGCATTTGCTCTACTTTCCAGATTGAGCCGTTTAAGGGCTCCGTCACTTTAAGAAAACAAGCTGGAGCTGGCCACGCCCATCTATCCTCCACTCAAGCTTCTATAAGCTGAGAAGCTGAAATATCAGGGAGAGCTTTGGTGTAGAGCCACTTCTCCTCAAACAGCAGCTCTCTGTTTCACGAGAAGTGGCTCTATGTTAATTTCCCCATTTGTGACATCACAAATGGGGACTTATTGAAACGGCTTGTTTTAGACACATAATTCCTACATCCAAACACTGGCAGAAAATGGATGTTTATATTTTTACACTTGGTGTGTTTATAGAAGCAGTAGAGACCCACATGGTCGCACAAAATGATGCAAAAAGTGAGTTTTGCAAAATATGTCCTCTTAAAAATAAAGTTCATACCTTATTCAAAATACTTTTAACTACTTGAATGGTTTAAAGAAAATCAAAGAAGGCACTATAAAACGGTACACTTTAGGTAATTACAGCAACTGCTTCTATTATGAAAGGACCTCACACCACTTCTTTTTTACTTAACAGTTCAGTTCACATCTTAAGCTTGGCTACCGGCTACAGAAGATAGAGGATAAAGATAATCAGCATTGCCAGAGAGTAGTACATTATCGCAGGAGGGACGGCTGCTGGAAAAGCCGTTCAGAGGGTTGAGCTTACACTTAAATGTCTTTTTCTCCTTCTTTTAGAACAAACAAATGTGCCTTTTTTGCAGTGGCGATGTTAATTGTCTCTGATCAGTCCCATGGAGATAAATGAAAAACTATAAGGATGAGTGTGTCGCTCGCACCAAGAGAGATCCAGATCGTGCTATGTACTAGTCATATGTCACTGAAATTATGATGTTCAATTAATTCTCCCAGATTTCAATTTTTTAATCAGCGGTTCAGCAAGGAAAATAACTTTTCTACCTTAGTTATAGATGTCCACAAATCTTAAACCAAAACAGGGAATGTGGAAGAAGAAATTTCAGTTTTGTTTACATGAAATAACAAATTAAAACCTGCTTAGCATTTGTGTGTGTGTGTGTGTGTGTGTGTGTGTGTGTGTGTGTGTGTGTGTGTGTGTGTGTGTGTGTGTGTGTGTGTGTGTGTGTGTGTGTGTGTGTGTGTGTGTGTGTGTGTGTGCACATCAATCCCACCATGATAAATCAGTAATAAATCTCCCCTTGCTGTGAGAACATTTATTTCATTAAACTCCAGCATCAAAACTCGCTTCATGTCCTCAAAAAGCAAATTAAAGCAGCAGAATTTTGTGTTTTCAATTACTCAGCAGCACCAAACATGCTTTATGAATAAACTATGGATGCTTATTAGTGATTACTCATCACTAATATTCAGCAGCTGCTATCATGCCTATCTGAGCATCACATTGCACTCATCTGCTTACAGCAAAAATCCTGATGAGACGTGTAATATTAACGTTCATTTGACCAAACTATAAAATGAACATGTCTAGGAGCTACTGCAGTAAAATTTGCAGAAGCATCAAGTTAAACTCTTGAAATACATTGTTTTTTACTTGAATATTAAGAGCGTAATCCTGTCCATGCAGCAACATTTGGGTCGAAATTCCAGGTTTATTCACCATGAGACACTGCTGCTGCTGATAAAGACAACAATGACGTCATCGTCCAAAACTAGAGGCATCTGTGATCCTACTCTACTCCCAAGATAATGGAATAATTCACTGATCACAAATCTGTACACAATCCCAGATGTGCAGGAGACTGAACATTGAGTGCGTTAAGGGTATTCGCTGGATTACTTCAGCTCTGTAGCATACAAGTCCCAGCGCCTCCAGGCTCATAGAAGCGTGCTGCAGTCAACAAAGTGGGCAGAGCTAATTCGAACTTAGGGGCAAAAGTGACTGAGACTTAATCTTGTTGCATAGTGAGCCTGTTAAAATGCCCAGAGCCAAAACATCGTCACCATCAAAAGGAGCGGACTGAATCTAAGGACGTTTCGGTGTGAAACACCTCATGCGCAGGTTATGTATCTGCTGCCTAATCGCCAGCATGAGTTGCCTGCTTTATTGAGCAGTAGACTCGATGCTGCAAGTCTAATGTGAACACACAGCTGCAATATCACCTTTACCTTTCCTTAAAAGGAAGCAAGAAAAAAGGTCAAAGCAAGTGATATTCTGCCTGTTGTAAAACAATCCGGTCTCAAATGGCTTGCATCTATTAAAAATGCACTTGGTGTCAGAGTTACTGCAATATTTCTGTGTTTTTGCATGCAAAAAAAATTAAAACTGAATTTCTCATGTAAATTTGTCATTCAGTTCATCACATCTCCTGCAGAGCAGCACTCAAACAGGGCCTCTCAGATGTGCTTAAGTTTTGCAATATTTCTAATTAATTAAATATACAAACTGATAATCAGAAATGGATGCTATGCAGCTACTGCCCAAAATTCTAATATCAACTTTGTAATGAGTGAATTAATATCGTATTTTCACTGAAACACATTCACTGTGGCACTAAAACATAAACAAAATAAAGGACAGACTTAAGAGGGATGTGCACAGCGTCTATTTGAAAAGGTAAACATTCAAGTCAATACAAGCTTATTGCACATGATAACAATTTTAATGACATAAAAAGGGTAAAAAGAAGCAACTCGGGTTGAAATCTGTCACAAAACGGAGAAATACACTAAATACTCTATATTGAGACAACATTACTTTATTTTGATGTTTAAAATGTTCAAAAAAAGAGATTTGAGATTTAAGTGTTTCCAGGGCGTAACGTTTCACGGCCAGTGGAAACGCACTCATCCACCATAATAGCGTCTGATTGCTGCGCACTACGTTTTGCAAACATTACGTGATGCTTAATCATTCAGTGGAAAAGACCCGATAATGTTCTATCACACTAGGGATGTGTAAATTCTGGTGTTACGACACGTATTACGCTACAGGGGAGACGATACATTTACTCAAAAGTTATTAGTGACTTTTTAGATTACATTTATTATAGGAAAATTAAATCAACAGTCTAAAGTGATGGTTAACATGTTTAACATCAGGTATCAGAACCATAACAGAAGGATTTACATTTCAATGGTTGAAACAAAACCCATTGCACACTGCTGCCCACTAGCGGTTGGCATTTGAACTGCACCAAAAGAAAAAGAAATACACAAATGTTTGCATGTAAATTCTTCCAAAAATTTGATACACGCTTTTGAATATCAATATAATATCACAGGAAAAAAAATCACGATATGCCATATTGATATCAATAGCGAGGGTCCTGAGAGGATAACGCTAACTGCATTAACGTTTCACACGAAGAGAGGACGACAGCCATGAACCTGAGGGGCTCTTTTGTTAACACCATCGTCACTTCACATTACGGCACTCAAGTTCCCCAAATAGCCTGCACACTTCCGGTCGTCACAATAAAAGCACTGTACACCACATGAGGATGGAGGCAAAAAAGAAGAAGGCTGAAGATGAGAAAGGTGCAAGTTGCTTAAATTGAAGTTTGCTAAGCAAATGAGTTCATCATAATAACAATATTAGCAGTGCTAGGAATTAACGCTCAGCATACAGCAGGTAAATCACCTGCAGCTCATCAGAGCTACAGGTGATTTACCTGATGATTTACCTTTCTGTGAGCAAGAATCACAGTTAATCATGGTTAGTTCTCTTTCTCCATTCAGACTCTGAGAGAAATCTGCAGGCTTGTGCAAAGATATTATCAGCCTAGAAACACAGTTAATCCTTTAAAGCCTGACACATGAAATAATAATCAAAAGACTATTTTGACTATTATTATTACAACTAAATTTAGATGTTCCCACCTATGTCAATTTCTAGTCATCATTCATAAATTATTATAATAATTATACACTATTGAAGATGCATTTAATTTTTTTAGCTGTGAAAAATAATTTGACTGAATGGTGAACAGGATACTAACGAGGGTGTTTCAGTACTTATGCTTTAGCACCTTTAACCACGCTTGATGAAGTCACTCATTACTGCACGTTTCATTCGTAATCCAGGGATTGATGCCTGACAGATTGTATAATTATAGACACAGATGCATCATGTATGAACAATTGTGTTGCTGAAGACCTGCTGTTCTGCAGCCACCCACATTCATATACCGCCAACCGTAACATCAACACACCGTTCTGCAGCTCCACTTTCAGCTGAATTGTGATGCATGCAAAACATCATGTTATACGTTTAAACATTATGTTAAACACACAGACATCTAGATTAAGTGACAGATTGCATTTCAGCTACTTAAAAAAGGACAGGGATGAAAGAAAAATCTCTAAATTTGGTCTTTCCTGCTGCCGTTTCGTATTCTTCCTAAAATAGGAATCCAGTAAGATGAGAAATCCCTCATCAGATTGTGTGTCATATTATTGGTAAAGCCTTATGTAACTCTAAAACACTCGGCTGCCCGGCACTCAGAGTTTCTATGGAAACAAAAACAGTGGGAATGAGCGCGTGCGACAGCCATAAACCTTTTCACTGCTCATTTTCGTCTGAAGTAACAGTGAGTCGACACACAAC